AAGGACAGCTTCAATAAAAGTGAAGTTATCCATTATGATCATGACCTGGAGCAAATTAGTCAATCTATTTCAGATGATAACACCAGAGGCTCCTACCCTTAAAGATGATTTATTACTACTTCCATGTTCCTTTTCTGCCAGGTTTGATTTATTTAGTTAGTTAATAAAAAGGTAATGCAGGTAGCTGCATGGCAAGAAAAGTCATACAACGTAGGAAGCAAGGTGTCAAAAAAGGCTTAAAAATATATGGAGAGAATACCCTGTATTTTACTGCAGAGCGGATGTTATAGAGGATTGTCTGCATGCTAGCTGGACAACCTGAGAATATATTGCTAGCCATGTATTGCCATTACATTGGAGGGCTATTAAACTTACATGAGAGGATGATTGAGCAAAGATTGGAGAAAAGGACACTGACTGGAAACCACCAGTTGAGACAGCAGGAGCTGGAAAGAACACAATGCACTCTGTACAAGAAAGGCTCAGGTTAATACATGTACACATATGGTGCATAATGCAAGAGTTGGTTAACTCATTCATTGATCTAGATCTTTCAGACGTCATTACTAGCGGAGAGGTTAACAGAACATTAGAAACGACGTAGGAGTGTAATACAAACCATCTAATCTATGGTCATATTATTTATGGAACAGTTTGCGGCTTATGTGCATTTATGCTATACAACCACAAAATACATTAATAAAGTCTCATATTTTACACTTTCTACTGTACAAATACATCTTCTGTTAACAAATCTTACATGTTATTCTTTACAAGTTTTCATTATGGTAGCGACAGATGAATAAATAAGTATATCACTTTTTGGAGGAAAAAAAACAGAAAGTCAAGCAAATATACTATTTAGTCATAAGAGGAGTGACAATCTAATACAGTGACATTCTGATTATTCTTATTTTCATAACAATAGATGGCGCTTAAAAGACTTGCAGAATACACATTCAGCTTTATGGATGTTCCATTAAAAGATACAAAAGAAATGCAAGTCATTTGTTAATAAGAACTATATGGCAGACATATAATGAAGAAGACGCCAACCTGTGGACCAGCAAAACAAGACAAAGGGCATGGCAGCATTTCTTGACATCCTTGCTGGTGAGCCACAGGCTAGTTGTCATAGCTGAACACACATGCAGGCATCATCATACAGATCACAGTGCCACCGGGTGTCCAATGCATCATATTAAACATAGCTCAGAATTGCCCTGCACAAAACTAACATCATTTAAAAACGTAATATCCAAAATCTTTTTTTTGCAGTATTCTAGAAAACACATTTTTTTTTTTAAAGGGGACGCCCCTTGCAAAGAGGTTTCAAGTGTTTTTACAAACGCATTTGAAAAGTTCTGTGAGAACAGTACCTTAAGGGATAAGAAAAGTG